ATCATTTTATGACATATTTAATTGATATAGGTACCCTGTATATACTTTCAGTTCGGTTCCACAAAACTAGTCTATAACATTTATAAAAGTACAATTTTTGACGCACGGTATCGATGCCCTTGACCTCCGCCATGTTACGCTACTGGAATTACTCCTGCAGATCTTTCAAAAAGTGAATAATATCATCCATTAATAATATCTCGTAAATAATCAAATTCTGTTTCTGCAACTCTTGGTAAACGTAGGTTGAGATAACCAGGCAGCCAAAGGAGTATGTCGACCGAGGTGTACAAAAATAGGTGTTAAAAATTAAAGCGTAGGCTATTTTAGAGGTGACGTTCCGTCAGTGTCCTGTCATTTTCGCCGGAGGGAAAACCACCCCCGCCTAAACGTTGATGTAAATTATGAGTGAATGTCGATGACATGACCTCTCATCGATTTTATAATAAGAAAAGAGGCGTTGTAATAGTGTTCTTCTTTCCTCTTGGAAGTACGTGGGTGAAAATCACCCATAAAGCTGTTTTTACTATTACCTTTGAGACTATCCGAAAATTGGATGACCAGCTTCACTTTCTTTCCTTCTTCCAACGCAAACTCGCCCCGTTTATTGTCCGTCTCCGCTTTAACGCGGTAACATAAATTGATAGTTTCCTCAAGTGAAAACCAATTAATCAAAACGTACTTTACAGTTTTACTACACCCAACTTGTTTTATCACGCGAGTGTAGTTACCTTATTAGTCTGAAATGGATAATGAGTGGGAGGGACGAGAATCACTTTACTATCTACACAATTTTTCAAAGCAGAGGATCCGCATGGCTCTTAAAACACAAATCATTTTGGACTTTATGACGAGACTGTCATTAGAATGTTATTGCATTATAAAACTAACAAGCATCTGTGATAATCTCAGACATTTTGCCGCTTCTTCTGGTACGAAAGTCTCGAGGAATTTCGCACACTTTAACAGTAACTATCGCAACACCTGAAATTGCGCGGTCATCCTTAATCAGATTGTATCGAAACTAAATTAATTTGTATTTTGACAGTACCGTTGACCTTTTTTTTTTTATTGTTTTATTGTATACTTAATACATGGATCATGTTATGGACCGAAATAAAAATAATAAAACCGTATATTGGTTTAAAAAGTACCACACGCGCAGTATTTGTTTAGTTTACATATTTTCAAATTGAAATGAGTGACCGTCTCAAGTGCGATGAGAATTTTAAGAATTTCCGTTTTGAGATTCCTTTTTGTTTACTGTGGCGACAATAATAAATTGCTGCTAATCACTCTTCTTGTGGGCTTTTGAACTTTTAACATTTATTTATTACTCTCAGGTAGACAGGGATTGAAAGCTCTTTTAGGGTTCAGAATTCGCAATTAATCTATCCGCCCCCGGTGAATGATACCTACCCATTTTACGATTTTACTACTTCCAATTCTCTACATGTTATCCTTAAGTCTAAGACCAATGCTTGTATTACCAATACCAATATAATTCCCCCAATTTCTCCGATTTATATCTAAATAATGTAAAAAAACAGCGTATTACATAATGAGCGTTGAAAGCGATACCTTTCGGTCATGATAGTTGTGGAAAATAATTCAGAAATTTCAAAAACTTTCATATGGGCCCAAAATTGCGACCATAGGGCAAGTCGGCATGCTTGATGCCCACCAGAAGAGCATTCCGGCGTTCTAGCAGTCTTATTACATCTCAATTATTGATGTTTGAGATTGATTCAAATTTTGTATATCGAAAAGTATGAAAATTAAGTCGGAGACAAATCCGATGCAAATCGCTGATGCCGATAAGAACTTTTTCTCGCGTCTCATCCTCTGGCCCGTAGTCAGAGGGTGGCCAGGTGTGACGCAGCCCCGCCTACTGCACGGTCTGACCCCCATCTATACAATAGTATTGTTTATTTTTCTGTCTTGCCAAGGATAAATGAACCTTAAAGGATATCAATGATATATCAAAGGTTGTCCAATGACCAATTTGTGATGCACGGTTTTTTATACCTTGTTTCTACGGTGGGGATGTTCACTTGACTGGTACCGAGTGGCGCGACATTTCTTTGGTGGGAGTATGTCACTGTCAGCTCGTTGGTTCGCCCATAGCGTAGGTTCCTCCAGGTCCTATTGTTCACCCATAGCGTAGGATTACTCTCATCCGTGTTACAGCTGCATTTGACTTCTGGGGCTGTCACTGGGTGCGTTCACCAGACGAAGCGCTTCATGAGCGCTACCTAAAGGCGGGATAACTCTTGCAAGATTTCTTGCGCGAGTTGCTGTCTGATAGTACTGTAAATACCACCGTACGTCCGACTTACGGTGGTATGTACATACCTCCATACTCTCCAAAAGCGACCACACTTTCACAAATATTGTCAATAAAAACTCAAGCATACAGCTGACTCGTCCTTGTTTATTTACAGCCAGAACCAACAAGTAACATTTCGTTGCACAAACAACAAATATATATAACCAATTAATAAATCTGGGCCCAAAAATATCACATTTAGCAACAATATAACAGTTAAGCAACCAATCAACATTGGTCCAACGATACAAGTATGGGGGCCGCCGAATTAACTAGGCAGAATCCTCCTACTTTCTTTCTCCCTGACGCATCCCCACTTGCTTTTCTAATTATTTCACTCCCCCAAAATGGAGTTTATTAATGAAATCTGTCATTTTTAAAATGAACCCGATTGGTTCAGTTATTACGCTCTCCACCACCCATGTCCACCACCATTCATCAAACGCCAACATAATTTTAGTTTGCAAATTAAGCGTTTCTCATTGCCTCTAAGTGAGATCATTCGGCGTAATTCTTTCTCACTTAGCTATTTTGGGCGCGTAAACCCCAGCTTTTCATACTCTCCAGGCCAATAACTTCCTAAAGCCATTAAAGTGCGATATATTTTACGGGGTGAATTTTTCGGGGCAAATCCTCCTATAATCCTAACATTACAAATGTATTCTAATCCAGGATTTTCTCAAAGTGCCGAAATTTTGCTTCTTCAGAGTGTAACAGTTTTAAAATAGTATTAACATTTCTGTCCATATTTCAATTTCCACCTGTATATTTTCTAAATTTTCTCGGGTCATTGAATGCGATCAATTTCTAGTTACTTTTGCATTTTTGTGTTTGCCTCTCCGATTTAATTTGTCTTCTTGTCTTTAGAGGACATTTAGTTTGTTTGGCTTTTTTTATGTTAACTCATAGAACAACAAACTTAGAATGGAAGCTGTAATTTAATGTAAAAATGACTCCGGATCTGTAACAGTAACATTGGATTTGACTAGATGAAATCTAAAAGGTAAATGAATCCAGCCAGTGAAGTTTAATTTTGTTTGTTAGGGATCCAGATAAATTCAGTTTAATGCGGATGCACCTCAGCAGTCACGGCCTTCAAAGAGTATAGAGCACTTGTTTTATGAGTAACAACTCCAATTAATCTAATCAAGGGGTTATATTTAATTTAATTTATTTATTTTATTTATGATGCTCTCGAAATCGTTCTAAAAACAAAATATGTAGCAATTTTTACAATTCAATTAGTGTTACCTGCTAAATATAACGTGCGAACTGCCACACGCTTTAAACCTCTTCGTGTTCCTGGTTCTAAAGCGCAGAAAAATGATGTTCACAAACCAAAAACTTTTGTGTAAATTTCTTCCACATTATATTCTAAGCCAATTCTTAAAAACTTCGGGCTCCATTTTTGGGAAACGTCTTCACAATTTGTATTTTGCATACTACTACTTTGCATACTAATAAACAATAATTTTCCTTGTGGGTCAATTGTTGACTCTTTTTATACTGAATCTACCTTTCCTAATTCTGGTGGCTGCAGATTAAATTGATATCGGAATTTGGTGGCTCCCGAAAGACTTGAATCGAAGCACCAGTAAGTATTAGTGGCGGTGATTTACTCGGAATCTTTTATAATAATTTGTTGTCAAAGTTTTTAATTCACTTACCTACTACCCTGAGTAAGAGCATATCTCTCTACGCTGTGAACTATTTGGCTAACGGAGCTAGCTGGCCGATCAGGGGTGTGTGTTGATTTCAAATTGCACATGGTACTTTATAGTGCCCTGCATTCTAAGCTTGCGCGGTAGTAGTATGGAAGGGTGCGTCATTTATTATTTATTATTTATGTGTATTATTTGCCATATGTCTACTTTTAAATGATAAAATCTCTTCTGATGGGCTCCTAATTTTATGCAACCAAAATCACTTCTTAAAACAAATAAAGATCTGTCTGTCATATTACCCACACAGCACCATAACATTTCAGAAATATTATTGAAATGTTTTTTGCAATATTTGCAACATTTTTGTTATGTTGGGAAATATTTTTACAATATTTTGAAAATATTATGGAAATATTCAAATGTCCGCCATTTAACATTACCTTATAATGTTACATACATATTTAAACTTTTGATTTCTGAAATATTGCTAGGAGATATTTCACCAATATTATTTGGTTTTAAAATTGAGGGCACAAAAATAATTCAAAATTTTTTTTAATTTAACTATCATTACTACAGTCCAATTCATTATTTGATTTTCTTTTAATTCGCATCTCCTCACGGCAGGCCCTAACTTTTGCTTGTGCCAACCATTTACTTCCGGCTTCTACAATGAGGTCATCCGTCACATCGTTTTTCATTGTTCGTACTGTTTCTGAAAATAAAAGAAGTTTTAATATTCCACCGATGTACTACAAACAAATTAAGAACAGAAAATGAATTTGTAAATATGCAAATTGGGGCATGCATTAAGTTGATATCACGCATTACATATATATAAGGGGATTTAAGCAGGTAATTCATAGCAACCAGGTTTTTCCACATAGAATTGATTTGTAACTTTGTAAACATTAAAAAAACCATTTAGTACAATTACACCCCTAAAGATTGAATATTTTATTAAAAGCAAAAAAATTAAGACCATGCACACTGAGATGTACACTTACTTATCAAAAGTTTGGCCATTCTAAGATCTTTGAAGCTTGACTTTCCTTTGAAACCAGCCCAGCTAAACTGTTGGGCGAGTGAGTTAGACAAAATTTGCCTTAAAATTCTTGTTGTTATAGAATTTACATCGGAACCGCCACCACACCGTTTCAGCATATTTATCTGTAAAATATCAAGATCAAAATAAATAGGTACATGTGGTTATTCAAATTTTACCATTTTTTTGAAAAACAAAAGATCTTTTAATTTTTGCTCAAAATGGTTTAAATCCGTTAGATTCTGCAGTGGGAGTTCGGTGTCCTCTTCTTCACTAACTGAACCATCTTCTGTTGCATGAATTTTCCACTGTTCTATTGAAGTGAGCCTTTCTTCAATTTGCCCGATTTTCTGAATTATGTTGTTCAATTTTGAAAGAACAAGTCGTCTGAATTCTAAAAAAAAAAGTTAATAGTTAATATGAAACAAATGGGAAATAAAAATTACCATTTTCTGAAGCAATTTCTGATGTGGTCATTGTACTTGGGCTAGCAGTGGAAGTGGATTTTTTAAGAGTCGCCCTCATCTGTGGTGTTTCGTTTAGAAACGATTGCGAGATGGGCGAATTTCTATGTATGAGAGTAGGTGTGGAACGAGGTGTGGAACTAGAAGAACTTGGTTTTTCCTGAAGTTTTTTCATATGAAGGTCTCTGCGCAATGATGGTGGATCAGGAAACGATGGTAAATGTTCCAAGGACTCTGTTTCATCGGTTTCAGTGTGATCATCTGAAGAGTATTTCCTTTTTGCCATTTCACGCCGTCTTTTTTTTGCCCTGTTATTTGCTTCAATATTGGTTGTATCATCAGTATCTTCAATATTTGACGTAGTCTCTGCTAAACGTAGTTTTCTAATTCCTCTTTCGTAACTCTCTAAAAAACCCTAAGTATATATTCATTAAACTTAGTCAAATTAACCTGATGTCCCAAATATTCGAATTACAGGGTATTCCTGCCAGGTTTCCTCTCCTGATGGCAGTAACTGTTCTTCAACAGCTTTATTTATCCGGTTCTGAGGCAAGTGAGTTGGGTAAATGCAAGTGTTATTGTTCCTATCAAGCCACATTGTTGCCACTAAAGCCAGTCCATCACCAAATTCCACTACCGAATATTTCTTCATTTTCCAGTGTTGTTAGTTGTTACTGGCATACACATGTAGGTGTTATTTAAAATATCTGCAGTAATAATAGGTAAGCATTTTGCAAGTTAAATACAAGATAGTTAAAAAATTGTGTCCTTTAAATTAAATTACAGTAATATGACTCCAAAGCCAATGTAAAGAAATTATTGGTTTGTATGAATTAATGGAAATGCAATGTAAGTGTCCCTATAGGGAATGGCCCACAATTTACATTTAATGTCACTGATATGCCAGCGCGAATGTGACCCAATATTTAAGTTACCCACTACCTTAATTTGATACTGTAAAGAACTACATGGTATATTAAAAAAACTTCCAATCTCATTTAGGGCTTTTCCAATAACATATAACTCATTATCATTTCCCTTTACTATGTTTTCAATAATGATAACAACCCCACTAGTTAAAAGATAGCAACTGTCACACATTCTGTTACATCTTATGCTGAATGACTCAGAAAACATGACCTGATATTGGGAGTGGACATTGCGTTTCTCATCTAATGGACCATGGAAATGTTCAAAAGCTAAGCGAATTTTAAAATCATTATTGGAATGGAGTTCAATATTCCCAATTTCGGAATATCTTCTAGCTAATTGTTGTAATGGCTTGTCACTTTTCCGAAGAAGTTTCTTTATGGACGACATGTGATTTTCAAAACGAAATGCGCTGAATGCGTCAAGTGGTCCAAATTTTCTAACATCGGAGCACAGATGTAGTAAACTGTGCACGTTATGCGAAACATATTGTTCACCATAAATAATGGCAAAAGAAGTAACAAAATGGTTAAGTAAAGCTTCTGCATAACTTACATAATTGATATCCTGACACAAAACTGGACTTGCAAGTATCCTAATAGCCAGACTCAATGAAATAAAATGATGATAAATGTGTTTTTTGACAAAATTTTTTAACACTACCACACCTGTGTATAAAAGAAAATTTCTAAATTCGGTAGCTTTCCACTGTTTAAACTCTTTCAAAGGACGTGGTTTTCTAACCACCTCAATAGGTGCAGTATTTTTCAAAGAAATCAAAAAATTTGAAATTAGATTAACATGACGTGCTGATATTCTAACTGAAAGTGGGCCTTGCAACCACAGAGAAATCAATTTCTTGACAACACCCAAACACACAAGATGCATATAATCAAGTGGCACATTTGTAACTGGTCCAAAACGGGGCACAGCGTTTAAGAGGCAGTTTCCAAGTTGAAAATCCTCATAAGCATTATCTTTAAACTCTTCATCTGTCCTTAAACGAGCATTCATATCAGTAGGAAAACACACTCTTCCACTTTTATAGTGACCCTCAATAGTACACTTAGTACAACTGTAAAATCCCGTATGAGACTTCACAGACAAAACAAAAGCCTTCGCCGGAGCATCACATATTAAAGCATGCAAATTAACACAAATGTTTTTTCCATTTGCATCGTAACCATTACTACACAAATCAGTCAATTCATTTGTTACAACCTGCAAAAATTCAGAACTGTTTTCAGGTTTTTTATGTCCAAAATACGCAGCCACCATATGCACTTTCTTATTAATTGTGTTTGAGCAGAGTATTGGCCATAAAGAAGATTGTGAGGACTTTGTTAATGGAAGACCATCAATATTTAGCAGCAGATCGATATTTTGAACATCACTGCAGTTATCCATGATCATCTTTTCCAAAACGTGACACAAACCAAAATGATAGTAACTCCCACCTTCTATAGAAATTACTGAAGTTTTTCTAGGTGTTCGTAACAAAGTTCTCGCATCTTTTGGTAAATCAAACATTGTATATGACCTTAAAATATTTAATAACCCAGTGCAAGTTTTGTGAGGAACATTATGTACAATTGCCCAATTTGCCAGAACACTCTTAAAATCATTACTTTCGCCATGTATTGTGTCACAGGGCTCAGGTATATGACCCAGCATTGTGCTGTGGGCAGGAACTCCCTCATCGACACCGAATATTGAACTAGAACTACTCTTATCGTTCACCTCGACGTTCACACTATTAGTTGCATCTTCAAAACTGGACACAGTCATTCTGTCTTGACTTTGGCAGTCACTGTTATATTCCTCTGTATCAGATTTAGTATAACCTTCAGAAATCAACGCTTAAAATGTTATCTAATTCATTGATTGTTTTAACTCTAACAATTCGTCTAGCATGTCGTTTTGAAACATTACATTTTACCTTGCGTTTTTTGGGCATCTTCACTTAATAGAAACTTAAATTACTAAGTAATATTTTTCTTGTTACGAGCAAATGCCTATCAATTATTTACTGCGTACTTTTAAATGGATACCTATGTAAAGTGTAAGCATAAAGTCACCTAAAAATTTCAATCTCATTAAAAACCACATCACCCATCTGCTCGTCTTGTAGAATATAGACACAGTTTCCTCCAATTACTGGTTGAGGAAAACGGACCGTTTGTTGCCCGTTGTTAGTTGATGAATGTATCCGATTTAGGGTTAAAAGTGTAAGTCCTGCAACAGTAAATGGAAGGTCGGTTTTGCGTGACAGACGTTTCAAGGAAACCACACCTTATTTATACAGGAGAGCAGACTGACAATGTGTTGTGGTTGGGGCTGGTCATGAAAATACACATTTAGAGTAGTTATTAGCAATTCGTTGATTTTCTACTGTTACAATGCGAGTATAAAAGTATGGTATGTACCTATACCTTAGAACAACAAATTCTCAGACCAATCCAATACAACTACAATGCAGGGGCCCCAAAAAATTTGTATTTAAAATGAACAACGAAAACTCTGGAAGCGCGAGAAAATTAGGTTAGAATGAGAAATGTAGGACACTATTTTTACTTACTAAAGATCGCCCTGTCTTCGCCCCTTCGTTTAAAGGTTGAAGCACAACTAATCTACACAAAGAGCCAAATATTAGTTGGGTTTTCTTTTCATTTGGCGATGGCGGGAACACGCATTTGGATTTCTGGAAGTGCAGATAAAATAGGGAGTGATAAAACACCCCAAATCGTTTACTTACCGGACTACTGCTTCCCTCTTTGCTGCTAGGACAACCCTCCTACTAATTTAGTGGACTGATAATTATTGCAATTAGCTAACAAGAAAAATCAAACACTTCACGTCGGACATAACAACAAACGTTGCACGCATGATCATGACGCAGGAATACCAACTTGGTTTGTCTGTGTGTTGCCAACGGCATTTATGAACATTTTCAGTGACCATCATTGAATTTGATAGTTATAAATTCAATTCAATGACCAGATTTAAAAAATAGCACCTGCACATTTCGACCTCCACACATTTATTGGAAAATTACGAAGTTGTTGTTTTTTGCCATATAAAAAATATTGTACATGCATGTTCTCAATTTAAAATCTACTACGGTACGAAATATTATAAATTAATATTGTGGTAACATTTTGAAAATCGTCCACTTGTATATTGCAAATTCATTCTCACAACATATTTTTGAAATATTGCAAATCCAAGGAAAATAAATGGAAGATTTTGTAGATATTGTGGAAATATTGCAAAAGCAATATTAAAAACGTAATGTGTCTGCAATATTGCAGAAATATTGGAAATGAAAGTAAAATATTGAAATGTTTTGGCAATATTTTTAGAATATTGGGTGCTGTGTGGAAATAAGCCAAAAAATCTCCTGCATTTATATACAAGATTTAGGTATCTTAGTAAAGACGCATGAAATACAAAAATAATACTTTACGACTAACCCATCTCAAATTATAGAAGAAGTTGCACTAAATTTTCAGTCAATCACTAGTCTTAAATAAAATTGATTAAAATGCAAGAGATTACAATACTAATTTATAATTTGGATTTAGTATTAACAGTGTTGACGGCTAATTGTCAAGAGGGCGCTGTCTCGTATCTAATAATCATGGAGTTAGAATTTCCTGCTTCAATCTTGTAACCTATAGATTTGTAAAATGGTATGAGATTATCTTTGCAGTCCAATGACATTTTATAACATCCAAGCTTCTTCGCCAAGAGCGTCACCGTTAACACAATGCTATAAATTCCAGAGAGATTACATTATTGCAATGATATTGTAAAGTACTTACAGCTTTCCCAATTGTTTCCCTCTGTAAGTGTTGTTAACGACAACATCTTCTAATCTGCCTCTTATGGAAGCGTTGTGAATAAATTTCAGCTCGGTGACTAAAGTAGCAGCACCAATAATTGTTTGACTTCGTGTATCTTCAATAACGGTGACGTAATAAGCACCAGATCGTTGCATTAGCCAATATTGACCTAAAAAATTAATTACTTCATTCGGCATTCAGGTATAGGGACATGCCAGGGGTTGGCAACCAATGGCTCGCGAGCCGCATGTGGCTCTTTTGATATAAAGTTGCAATTTGTTCATTTTTTCAAAATTTACCTTTTTAATTAATCTTAATTACGAAATTGAAAGTACACTTGCAGCAAATAATTAATTTGTGACACTTGTTTACTTTCTGATATTCTTTTGTTTTTTATTATCACAGTTTACTCTGATGTATAAACATGTAATTAATTAATGGGTCGTTACTTTTGTGAGACCTAAAAACTATGGGGACACCCCTTATAAAAATTAAAGAGAACACAAAAGACAATCGAATAGCGAAATAAAATATTGGTAGTTCCATTTGAAAAAGAATAGTTATGTAGTAAAAATATCTCGACCCAAATATGCAGGATGTTCTATTTTAAAAAATCAGTTCATTATTGACACCATAAAAATGGGACACCCTGTACATTCAAAAATAATTTCTGTAGATCCTAATCATCTATAGTTGACACTCCAGTTGACATTTGCACAAAATATTTTTTACCAGGTATCAGCTAGAAAAGACCGACGCACTGTTGCAAGACCCTGTACATACCCAAATACTATAATATTGAATCGAAAATTGTTAGTGGGTCTGGGAAATGTCGTAAATTGTAACTTTTGGCTCTACCTACCGTTTCAATAGGAGGCCACTAAAGGAAGTAATTCAATGTAGTAAGCACTATATTCAAGGATTCAATTGTAGGTAATTACCTGCAGTGTTGAGGGATCCCAAAGACACTCGGTGACTGTTGTAAATTGTCCCATTACAACAAGCATTATTGTAACTTTTCCAGAAAGGAAAAATGTCGTATCCAAAAGTAATGACCAATGTGAAAGTATCAATAATAAATCCAATGCTTTACATATACTAGGTACCTATGCCTATTAAAAAACAATGCATATACCTACTTGACCTTTTAAATGTAAAAAGTTGAATTAAGAAACTGTGGAATGCAGGTTTTCTCAAGACCTTCACCTTAAATCATTTTGTTTTTTTAGCTAATTACCTACACCTGTTTTTAGTAGGCGGCTACTACAATGTTTATTAAATAGGTACTCTAAACGACATTAATTATACACGATTTTCTTTTAATGAATGAAATGCTACTCACGTTCGAAATCATGTTGAGAAACATTTCCTACAGTGGTCAGTTGTGCCAACAAGGTTAAAAATCCTTTATTATGGTCGGTTATTTGTAAAGGTCTAACACACAGCCACTCTTCGCCAGGATCTGTGCTTGTTATGTTTGGTGACATAAGGTTTCTTGCAGAGGACCAGTCCAATCCTTCAAGTAACAATGGATCATACAAATAGGATCCATTATTAGAACCCTACAAGTGAGACATCTAATTTATCAAGTTTTTTCACTCAACATTACTTTAAAATCAGTATGGGATGTAGATAACATTGGCCACGTTACAATGTCACATTATATTTATTACCTACTTCATTGTGTTAGTAAACCTTATCTAAAGAAGGTATAAGTAGGGATTAATTACGATTGAATAATGATTAAATTACCTTCTTATGGGCCCCCATCACACCTGGGTACACACTCAAACTATTATGCGTGCAATTTGAAAGGTATGTTAACAGTAAGCGAAGAAAAAAAATTATTCACCTTGAGTACTTTCACATTTTTGGAATGTTCGCCAAGTTGCAAGTGGCCTAGTGGAAGTCGTAGAAATATTACATAAGTAGGCCGTTTAATCGACAAGTAGTTCAATAAGCTCGTGGAAGTATCAATATACAGGGTCATACCGAAATATTCATCGTTTAAGATAAGCATTCGCCAATTTTTTAAAGAAATGCGAAATGTATTTTATACGTAAATAGGTTAGTCACGAGCGCACATAAAATACGTTTTTTACTCCTGGACTCTCCGATAGACCACATCACCCTAAATACGAAGAATGTTGCGCGGTTATTTCTCATTTATGCAAATTCGCGACTAATCTTTAAGGTGATGTTTCAGAATTGAGCTCTAAAGAATGAGTTTTAAAACATTTATCTGAAGATCAATTTTTTTAAAAATTTGCGTAAACGATATGCTAACCTACATCGGTGTATTTGAAAACGAAAGAAATCATTCGAGCCCCTCCTCGCAGAACCATGGTTCTCGTGTTTTTCGGCAAAGAACGCTCTACGAAGGATAAAAACAAATCTGGTTTATTATCGGACGAAATTTAATTAACACACGTGTTCTTATCATATAAGAAGAGATAACGGATTTTACGATGTGCGCGTTATTTCGGCGTAAGTGGGGACGCGTTCCTTCGAAATTGGCGTTATCAAGTCTGATTGTGATTAGCGGTTGATTTGAAAAAAATGGTGTAAATACCGGAGTCGACGAGAAACGAGGCTGCTGCTGCTAACGGTTAGTTTTTGCGATGGTTAAAGAGCGTGCAAATTCGTTTACGCTAATCTCTTTATTTTTAACCACGCTTTTTCAGAAAACCTACATACAAATAAGAATTGCAAGTCTGCGCAGTGCGCAGGTGTGGTAATTTTTTTGCATCTCTGCGGATAGTTATTTTTTGATGTGCGTTTAGTTATTTTTTTTAGACAGCACAGTTCAGAAAAATCCGCCCATAAGTTAAAGTAAGCTATTGCATCTGCATATGCGCAATCAACTTTTTAACACGTGCGGATAAATTATGGTTCCAAGTAATATACATGGCGGCCAACAGAGTCAATTTTCACTCTTTCTTTCATAGTCTAAGAATTTTCATTTTCTTTTCTCTATCATAGCGTTTCTTCAATTAAATTGAGGATTGGATCAAGATTTTGGGTCTCTCTAGTTAAAAACTGAGCAAGTTTCAAGTTTGAGCGTTGACTAATCAAGGATCAAAATGCAACAAGCGGGTAGGATTTATTACTACAATCATCCCTGTGATGTATCACTAACGTTAAACTTAACGTCTAGAAGTTATATGAAGAAAACGTTAATTGTTCATTTGCTCACGTTTGACGTTTCTGACGTCACAGGGCCGAATAACTGGCAAAAGTTGTTTAAAATCGTGAGGAGTGGAAAAATAGAATTGTTTTTGTGCTATAATAAATGTACGGGTACATTTGTCGCAGTGAAACATGATTTTCTTCTTCGTTAATCCAGGATATCTCTCCACGATTGCTACCTGCAAACGGCCCAAAAGTGCTGAATAGTACCTACTACCTTTTCAAGGTATTTAGTTGACTAGCAGAATATTCTTTGCATCCTACATCCCAGAAAACTGATCTCTCGCAATAGGCTCACACTCTCCTCGGACTTCAGCGCCCGAACACGTTTTTGATCCAGCGTCAGCAACAGCAGCATCCATCATTCGCAATTCGCAAGCTTTTTCATGTGCATTAATTACTTTTAATAATGCTCACACTATAACTCTGAGTGACGTGCAAACTACTAACAAAATGACAAATTTAACATCTTTTCGGGATACGGATAAACGGTGGAAACTCAGCAAACATAAACACTTTTGTGGTTTTCCCAAGATAACTGAAAAAGCGAATTCTAAGTTACTCATATATAGAGCACAAAAAACGTATTATGAGCCAAGCCATAGTTTTCAAGACTAAAGCAACAAGCTCAAATTATGCGCCGTTTTTCCTTTTGATTGAACTATTCATGTTGGTGCATGATATTGACCATGAAAATCATCAATACTCCCTTTGCAACTATGGCAACATATATTGTTGATTTTCAATTAATATCAACACGTTCTCGTGTTTTCGACATTTAAAATAAATAATGGAGCAACTTGCAAAACCACAAATAATATGTCATCTTGAGAAGGACGTAAATTATTCCGTACACGAAGTTAAATGGATTCCATCCTCGGCGAAATTTGTCGCGATGGGCGGAAAGTCCAATGGCACCGGCATTGTGGAAATCTACGCCATGAGCGGCGATGGACTTGAAAAAATCAGCGAGTTCGCCAAAGCAGATCAATTTAAGTGCGGCACATTTGAAGCTTCCAGTTTGAGGGCACGCCACTTGGCTACGGGCGATTTCGGAGGAAGATTACAAGTATGGTATATGACTTATCGGAATTGCGAGTAACACTCATAATAAATACCGTTACGTAGGGATTTAGAAGACTCACTACTTCCCGTGTATAAATCGACAAAGCATACAGCAATAATCAATTCAATAGATGGTATAGCCGGAACGAAAGTCGGATGCGGTGCGCCGGAATTAGTAACAGGATCTCGCGACGGTTCGTTCTGGCACAGTTTCTGGTTAATTACACTTGAAAATATTCATTTCAAGGATCTGTAATGGTGTGGGATGTTCGACAGAAGGATATTCCTGTAGCCAAGTTTCTACCTAGCGAGGGAACGGCGGCGAGAGATTGTTGGGTTGTTGCATTCGGTAACTCCTACAATTCTGAGGAGCGGGTCGTTTGCGCTGGATATGACAATGGGGATGTGAAGATGTTCGATTTAAAAAGTATGTCCTTACGTTGGTCCAAATGCTTGAAAAATGGAGTAAGTACTTGCAATAAATTCGTTGACTGTTAGTCAAATCACATTGGATAAGTAGTTGATTAATTAATACACTTAATAGTGTCAACCAGCAGGAGTCCTCACCGACTGTACCTTACTTGTAAGAAACTATAATTTTGAAAATCTGCTTGTAGTTTCTCAGTTCAGTCACTAAACACCTCAATTATATTACCTTGAGAAAGTAGTGCGAATCATTTGATGTTGGGAAAAACGACTTAGTCTACAGTGAATTGACTTCCTCTTAACAGTAGCAGTAATAGACTAAACAGTGTTAAATTAGTTAAGGCTTTATTTGGATAACTTAATTTTATAAATGGTTTTTGTAGGTTGTTGGGCTTCAGTTTGATCGCAAGGATATACCCATGAACAAACTAGTTGCGACAACTTTGGAATCTAAACTTTACTGCTTTGACGTACGTACACAGCATCCTAAGAAAGGTTTCGCGCAAGTAACTGAAAAAGCGCACGGATCCACAGTTTGGTCGGTAAAGCATTTACCACAAAATCGAGAAATATTCATGACAACGGGAGGCGCGGGCTCTTTATGTTTATGGAAATAGTAAGTATAATCTATAAGTTCAAATTCTACTAACGTATGATATGTAAATAGCAACTACCCACATAAGCGTGTCGACAAGGATGGTGATGGTCTTGAAATGGGCGTGCCAGGAGAGTTGAGTTTGTTACAAAATAGTACAGTCTCCACACAGCCCATTACATCATTCGATTGGTGTAATGATAAAATTGGTTTATCGGTTTGCTCAGCATATGATCAAACTGTGAGGGTACTAATTACAACAAAACTGAATCTATACTAGGATGTATCTTTGTAATTGTTCACTAATTATGTAAGGCTTTCCTACTTTGATTTTTTGCTATTTCTAGATTCATTAATAATTGTATACATGAGCAAACCATGTTCATAAACAATTGCAATTTTTAACAGTAAACCTGAGGGTAAACAAAAAAATCGCTTGCTGAAAGTGTAAGAGTAGGTACCTAAAAGAACACTCAAAAGTGCCTTTGGGACTAGGGTAAAAAATCTTCTTCTTTGTAGAGAATCTGAGCATAAATAAATAAATGATTTAAAAAAGTTACGAATGTATATTTTATGCTTAAAATTAAAAAAATATTTACAATAAATAGTTCCAATGAAGATTCAAATAATAACAATAAAACATGTTTTAAGTTGGCAAGAACCTCGACGGATCAGTAAACCTAGCCGTAAGTATGTAAAATAACGCAGGTAGTGGCACTAGAAGTATCAACAAGGCGTGTAATGTCGGATTTGTGAGCTGTGTTATAGCAATTATACCATATGCGTGTAAACACCAATGGCCAATGAGGATGATTACATTTCTCAAATCCACAACCGTTGTTATAATGAGGGAGAGTACGGTTTGGTCTATTTGAGCAGCAAAGTGTGCTGCGCACGATATTACCGATAAGACCACGATTAGATACGGAAATGAGTAATCTGAAAGACAAACCTGGTAATCCACCTACATATATAAAATTCCCAGTTGACTTACACAGTAAACCCCCGATCAGTGCTTGCAGGAGCGCGAGTATTGGTAAAAAGTACATTGCGGCATATATCGACATCTTGCTCTGTCTGGGCAAGCATCTCTTGCAAATCCATGGTCTCAATATAAGCATCAAGATTAGGGCATATGCAAAGAACACAAACACCATTGTATACCTGTAATAAACGGAAATAATGAGACATGTTAAAATTGCACGCCTTATATTACAAGGTGTCTTTTCTATGTCCACTGATGAACTTTTTTTTTCAAGAGATTCTCAGTCTGTAAATGGCACTTTAACATTACTTTGCTTACGTGACTGAAGATAGCGTCCTGTAGCGAACCCTTGATAAGTAATGAAGGAGTCAAGGAGAAGTTAGTACGTGTAGTAAGAGTTCATCCAAGTTCGAGTTAAAGTTGTGAAGAAATTGTACGTAAAAGTTTTTGGGGTAGCAGTTTTCATTGAAGTTGCATTTGTCCCTTTTTGCCGTTTACGTAAGACGCAAAACAGTTTTGATTATATCGTTATAAAAATGTATAATTATGTTCCTTACAATATTAAGGCTTTACCTTTTAATTTATTCCAATCAAAAACCAAAGCATTTATTAATAAAGCGTTTTACTCGTATGAGGAATTTTTCAGTACAGAGTTCTTTTTGTGGCAATTAAGTATTGATATTTTATAATTTTTGTTTATTCTTATATTTGTACTAATATTTTAATTTGCTTATGTATTGACTAATGTATGTAGGCTGTTCTACGAAACATTAAATAAACTTTATTATTATCGTCCACGTTATGATGTGTTTATTCGATCCCTTTAACGATCCAGATAGATGTCTCATGTTTAATTTTGTTGATTCATACCCAAAGTTTACTTCAGGTGTCTTGATACTTTTGGGATTTAAGGAATTTAAAATTAAAACACAGCATTTTTATTTGCCCACCCAATGTGGCGCATTGCATCTATTTTTTGTATGTGACCCACAAGTCAAATGTTTATTTTAGCAAAAGCTGAGAAAAAATTAATTTTCGGTTTTTTGGGGATACCTAACTTCGCTATTTGTAGTGCTACAAGAAACTGTACATGGGAAAATTAATCAGCATAAAATTCTGCATAACTTTGTCCATTGAAGCGACCTTTATAGGGTGGTCGCTATAAAAAAATAGTTTAGGGTCCTATGAAAAAAAACCAAACACCCTGTATAAAAACTGTGTATCGCGAGGGATTCTACATAAAAAGTGCTCTAAGAAAGATTTTGCCAAAATCAGTTATCTTTAATAATAAGCATATCTTTTTTATACAGCTTTTTGCATAACAACGTACTTTGTTCTTCTTTGCTAAGACAACTATCTGCCGAAACGATGATTACATCTGCTCACACTTTAATAGTTGTTGTTGTTGTTTAAAGCGGCAATTTCTTGGTTACCTGTATTATTTACTTATAATATATATTATATGATATTTGTTTTATTCGCGTTTTCACATTTTTTGTTTTTTGTGTGTTATTTATAAATTTAAAATATTTGGAAACTAATAAACATTTCCAAATAATCAAGAAATTTTCTGTTTACACAATCCTGCTATCTTTTCTTTGCCATGGAAACCTAGATGCCTACAATAAAACATTTTAATGTATAAAATGCAATATTGCAAATAATATTTAATATAAATATAATAAGTAATACATCAAAATTTACGGAATTCTATGCTCTTTTCAAAAACTCCAAAATATATAGGGTGGTCCGTATGAACCAATGTTTAGGGTCGTATCAGAAAAACCAAACACTGTATAAAAACTGTGTATCACAATGGATTCTATATAAAAAAGTGCTCTAAGAGAGATTTTACCAAAATTAATTATCATTAAAACTAAGAGAGTTATGGGGCATTAAGGAAATCAACTAAATTGTAGATACGCCCTCTAGCGGCCAACGATTAGTGATGGCTGAATTCTGTTTGCACCAGTGATTTTCTAATTAAAATTGGGCTCCAGACACCTAGGTCCATTTTTTCCCATCTCTTAAAATAAAGGATGTTTCCATAAGAAAGTGTTCAATTTCGACCACCCTGTACAGTATTTCATAAGGCCTTGTGTGTTTGTTTGTATACTAGTACTTATATTTGTTTTATATACTCTAATACTATCCACGTATAAATAATTTACTTATTGTATATTGTCCTATAATTGAATACTATGGTCTGTTGGGCAATTAAATGCTTGTTATGCAGCAGAGAAGTTTTTTACGGGAGTCAATGGTGTCTATCTGTCTGCAAACATGGCAACTGGCACACAGTTCAGCCGCTTTTCTAGATCCGCTTTAGGCGGTCTATTATTTGTTATTACATTTTTCAGTGGGCCCAATCTGCATGTATACAACTCACTTATTGATTGCATTTTTTATTTATTAATTTCTTAAAATATCTATATTTGGTACCAAAATGCATATACTTTATATTATGTGTGTAATTTTACTTTGATAATTCCTGTAATAGGCATTATTACTGTTGAAATTAAATAATAAATAAATATCTATTAATTGAAAGATTCTTCAAAATGAATTATTTTTGGATGCTTTTTCTAACCTGGTCTGTTCAAAACAACAGCTTTGATTGTACGGTGAGTCCCGTTTTAACCCAATTTTGACCTAGAATTTGTGCTGTCGTTATTTCTAGCATTATGGGCTTCTTGTTATTATTGACACAGAGGCTGCGAAGATAAAAATAAGCTAATCGTAAAAGCAAGAGATGCCATGGGTGCACAATTTTGCCAGTGCTGTGTAGGTATCATCATGTGATATACATAGTGTTAATAAAGTACTCTACAAATCTACAATATTTTAATTGAAAGCTGCATCTCCACGTCACTATATACTTTTTTAAATCGAAGTAAATAGGAGAGCAAAGAGGGAAAGTAGTGTGATTCCGACTTGGCATCACTGAAAGTAGGTTACCTTACTATACAGTAAAGATTGGTCTAGCAATTTGCATAGATAACTAAGGCCAACTTACAACGGATAAACCGCCTCCTGTGTACAGTGTACCGTTTTCTCGTAATTAGGACGAGGATTATGAAGTAACGTATACCAATCGGAGAGGCTTCTGACTGCACAACTACGTATCGTTAGCGTACCAAACGGTTCGGTTGACAACAGAGTTAACACGCACGCCAAGACTATTTCAATAAACGCTGAACAGTGTAGCATAATGACTTCTTTGTTGAAACTAAAAGTAAATTATTGTAAGGCATGTTTGGTCGTAGCTCACTTTACTTTCGTCGCATTACAACGAGGTCAATAAAAAACCAATGCAGAACTAGCGCTAACAGAACCATGAATCCCAAGTATAACCAGTCGTAAAACAAGGGATTGTCCGTGCACGGATCGCAAATAAAGGTACTGTCATTCCTTCGGTAGCCCCTGGGGCACGCCCCGCACTCCCCTAAACTGGCATTTTCCAACAGTGTTCTGCCACAATACCATCCTGGGCATCTCATTTTTGTTTAATGAGGTTACATTTCAAATAAAAACTTAGGTTAGGTGCTTCCCTTTCGGTTGTCAAAATATTTCGATCAGCAAAATGGTTGTCATTCAACATTTTTTGATTGGTTAATAAAACGACGGTATTGAATTTCGATTGGTCGCGCACTTATAGTTGCTAGTCTATTGAGTGACTGGTAACTGCAAGCAATTAATATTTCTTCGAAGTTTGTACGTAGTAATTTCGAAAAACTAATTCGAAGTTTTTAGAATTGGGACTACGAGCGCGAGTTACGGTCGGACGCCGGACGCGGCATGTGTCGGTCGCTCGTTTGATTAACAAGTCTCCCCCATCTATTTTCAGCCCTAGGTACTTATGGCATCGTATCTGTTCATGTGCGAAAATTGTCATAGAAAATATTAATAAGTGCGTAAAATTAGGGCGAAAATATTGTAATTGCGTGGATAATAGTATTTCGGTTGCGAACGATGCGTTACATAAGTGCTGGAAGTTACAGTGTTGTCGAAAATGAGCATTTTGTGGCGTTGTAACCAGCTGATGGCGGGTGAAAATACTGGACAGTTCGTTAATTTACCCGTCTAACGATTACCGTTTTGTATACCGGTAGGTGAATTGTTCTCGGAGCGTTAACGAGGAGAAGGAGGTTTGTTTTTGACGTACGTTTAGATTTTAAAAATTATAAAAACCAAACATTGACCGGCTAAGTGTTTGGGCGTGCACTCGCAAGAGAACCTCTAGGCACTCCTTGTATAAATTATTTTTTAGTCATTTATAAATTAGAAACGTTAGTGCCGAATAATGATAATGAGAAATTGTGTACTTTGACATCGGTTATTACAATTCTGGATTTTGGTGAAATGCAGAGTGATTGTGCGCGCCAGTGTGCAACCCCAGTGTAAATAATTGTGTTTTGGTGCTTAAAAGTTTTCGAAAACGATGTCGACGACCACGTTCGTCGATAGGATTGACCCTTTCGCCAAAAGATCCCTAAAGAAAAAGACTAAAAAGTCACAAGGCAGCTCTCGGTACCGTAATTCGCAGGACGTTGAGCTTCAGCAGCTTCCTCTTCTGAAAGGTAAGCTCATGGTTTAAAGCTCCAGTGTGCCCATCGCAGACTTCTTTGAACCCACAAGCCTTATTAACCCATTGTGTGTATAATTATATAATCTGGAGGAGTGTTTGAAATTCTATATTTTGTACACAATTTGTAGCTAGCGATGCGCAAGGTCGCTATGTGTGCACAAGGTCGCGACTCGAACCGCTCCGTATAAAATCAATCGCTAAAAATATTCAATGAAACGATTTCCATCTTAATTAATTCGTTGGCGGCATTTTAGACGGTACGAATTTATCACCAGTTCCTTTTGTTTTCATACATAACTAATCTCCACGTGTATCGTCGTTTCGCACTCGCCCGTATTTATTTATTAACCTCTAAATTTTGTGTAATTACTAAAATTTTTGGACTTGATCATATATTAGCCATTTGGTCGCGTAAATTCGTAACAGGTGTTCGCCTTAGTTTAAGTACTCTCAATTAATGAAGTGACACACAATTCTTGCTGTTATAACTTTATTTGGGTTATGACTAGCTCTAATTTCGTCATTTTTATTATGTTTTAAACTTGAATTGCACAAGTCGAGCTTGCCGGTTATTTGTTTTATGTGCGTGGTGTAAATACTAAGACGAGACGAGTCACTAAAGAATGTTATCTAAATCCCTTTGGAATGAAAAACAATCATTTCTTTTATTCTCCACATTGTAAACGTAAAGCTTTGTTGGAATGTAGGAAAGGCACGAATTAAGAGTCATACGCACTGAAGGTTACGAAAACTTCAGTGCAAACTTTTATTCAACGGTTTCTCGTCTATGATTCAGTTTCATTTTTTATGTTTTAGTCTCGGTTTATATGTCGATTCTTTTTTCGCCCGAATAGGAAATCCGATAAACATAATGAAGTGACCATTGTTTTCCGGTGTGACTAAGAAGCAAGATTGAGACACAATTTGCCGTTTCACAATGTAGATTAGTTTGTGTTGGGGTGTTTGTATAATCTTGGATTATCAAATACCTAGTTGAAGTTCTTATCTTGATTTTTGTTTCATGATAATTCCAAGAGTAATGTTTACTTTTATATTACTTATTGTTCATAATTTCTTATTTATTTTTTTTTGTATATGTACATAAATCCGGAACGATCCAGTTTCACGCCACCATGCAATAATGTTTGTGTGTGTCTATTTTCCTCGCTAATTTCTTTGTAACAATTCTTGTTCCTAATTAAATTTTGTTTTATCGATAACTATGCCTTTGTTTTACTCTCGTGTTATTTAAGTTTTGAATTTAACGCTTCTTTCTCGGCTTTTTTTTAACATCGGACTTTTATCCGTCGACGGTAACTTCTGATGTTAGCACATCATTACCGAAAATTGGAAAATTTCTTAGCTGGGTAGCTCTAAAACGAATTTTAATAGTTTCGTTTTTTGTACATGTTAAGTATTTATTTATTTATTTAATTTTGTTCCTATTTTTAAGAGGGGGTTTCAACTAAGGTTGTTCTACCTTCCCAACCACTTAAAAATAATAATACTGGAACGCGTGCTCCGTCCGCCAGTGCCATCCGAGAGAGAGGGCCACAAAGGGATCTCTGTCTTACTCTCGCGCATGCATAGAGCAGCCTATTTGATATGTTTTGAATTTATATATCCTCTTTGCGCTATCTCTCTCGGCGCGCTACGTTTCTATGGCAGAGATCGACAGTGCGCGTTTCAATATACTTAGTATAAGTATAGTTTAGTGGACCCCACCCACTATACATTTACAAAATACTTATTATTTATTACGAGATTTATTATTGATATGTGATGCCTAAGACCTGTGCGGCCCATGGACACCCTCAGGATTTTGCTGGCTGGTTTCTAGAGTTGCTATATCATTGAAGAAGTTAAGAATTGCCTTAAGCTTCTCTGTCACATAGGACATGCTCTGCCGTATCGACTGCCTGTTACCAGAGTCGACATGTAGCCATCCTCATGTGTAGGTTAATAATATTTTGGCGCAAGTTGTAAGGAGCTCTGTAAGGGTCCAAAGGTCCATCTTTCTGAGGGATGTAATCTCCATAGAGTTTTGGAGAGAGAAAAAGTACAGGTCCCACAAGCCAGCAGAGCCATTTTAGAAAAATGAAGGACGAAATACATCATAATTATAGGCTGATTATAGGCCCTTTTTGGACACTTGAACAAATTTTCAGGCGGCATCCTTTAAAGAAAAAAACTATGGCTCTACTGGCTAAAGACGAAGCTAGCAGACCACTTGTGAGATTTGCTTCGAAGACGAAAAATTCAGATCACAAAATTATAGGCTATTTATAGGCTTTTTTTAGACACTACAACAAATTTTCAGGCGGTATCCTTTAAACAAAAAATTCACAGATTTCGCAATCCTTGCAACCATCGGATACATTGGAAATGATAATCGCATAACCTATAAAGTCATAAATAACCCTTCACACGGAATAATCTAAACGTAGACTTTCTGAATAATAAGCGGCGTAAGTACTATCACGGGAGATGTGCGAGAATTTTAAATTCGAATTAAGAAAACCCCTGCGCACTGTTAAGTAAGTACCGTATCGACAGTATCCGCGACTTTTCCTGAATCTTACCGATTGCAGTCGAGTACGGTACAATCTCGGGTACAATCAACACTAGACGCGACACCACTATCTTTTTTCTGCTCGGCAAACCTGGTAAATTCATACCCATACAAAACATAAGCATTTGCAATGCTAAAAACTATGATTTTGCTGGCTAAAGAAGAAGCTAGCTAATCACATGTGCGATACGCTATGCGCATGCGCAAAATTTTTGCCTTGTAATTAATATCGATCCATTAACAGTGACTGTATAAAGACAGTGTGATCATATGCTCTATATCCCCCATGTTTTTCCCATATTCTTCATTGAGCTGATCGGTTTAATTGAATTGGTAGATTTTGGCATTTTTCTATGGTTACAATATTATTGCCACAACTGTTTGTGACTTGATCACCTTGGATTCCAAGTTAATTTCCGCCAACCCGATTTATTTGATTAAAATATGGCGGATATCCCACCTACCAATCAAAAAACAACACCAAAGTATGACCAAACTGCCTCTATACAGTAGGTATACAGTCACTGTAGATCCATTATAAGTCACTAAATATAGAAAGTACCGCAATCCATTGGGCCCGTGTGTTAGAGAGAGAACGCATGTTTTTTGCCCAAAAATGGCGGAAGTTACCAGATTCTAGTAACTTTAATGTTAGGGATTGTTCCACCTGTTTGGAGACATCTGTCAAGTAGGTATTTGAAATTTGAATTTTCTTTTACTAATAAATCAAATATATAGCAAGTTGTTGTGTTTCAGGTTTTAAAAGTGTCTTAGTTGTCTATGCAGCTTTTCTTATATTATTATAGGAGAAGAAAAGTTGAAGCGATATTCCTGAATTGGAAAGAAGTACAAAAAAATTTAAATTATTCGTCTCATTATATTATTAACGAACCTCGAGATCGTTTATAATTTTGTATTGCTGCCTGTCTGTACATATGAAGAAGTCTGTCCGTCTGTCTGTCAGTGTGTACGATAACTTTGTGTAGAAACGTCCGATCGCTTTAAAAATTGATATACACATGTTCTTCAGGATATAACAAAGTTCGCAATTGTTTTTCGGCTACGTAGACCAACGGGCCAAAAAGTTACAGACCAAAAACTGCGCAAACCTCCAAATAGGGTTTCTAACTCTTGTTACAAAGAACATATGAATGTCCGGTTTTCTGTATTAGTAAATATTCCTTAAACTTCGGGCAACTATGCAGATGCAAACAAATACTGCGCATGCGCATAACAACTTTTGTATTCGCGCAATCCTAATTTTTTATTTGTTAATATAGTTAAATGAAATTCTGTATCTAGGCACCTCGAATAAAAGTGAAACTAATGCCAAATCAAAAAATTTGTTTTGCGCATGCGTAGTCGGTTTTCTTTTATATGGAAAGGTATTTAAATGAAATGTTGTATGCAGGCACCTCAAATAAAAGTAAAACTAATGCCATTTCAAAAGGTGGGACAGAATCAACCCCTTAGGGTGTATTGTAAAAATGATGTATGTGTGAAGATCTCGAGGATCGTTTGGTATTCAGTTGTATCGGATTTTTGAAATATAAGTTAGAGTTTAAATAAATATGTTAACTGGGCGAAAGCCCGTTGAGGGCCCAGAACAAGAGAGGGAGAATAAATAGCCAATAAATAAATAATTTTTATTTATCCACTACATCTCCGAGAGGGGCAAAATCAAACTGATCTGGATGATAGTTCTTCTTGTTTAAAGGATTCCGCCTGAAAATTTGTTGTAGTGTCTAAAAAAAGCCTATAAATAGCCTATAATTTTGTGATCTGAATTTTTCGTCTTCGAAGCAAATCTCACAAGTGGTCAGCTAGCTTCGTCTTTAGCCAGCAGAGCCATAGTTTTTTTCTTTAAAAGATGCCACCTGAAAATTTGTTCAAGTGTCCAAAAAGGGCCTATAATCAGCCTATAATTATGATGTATTTCGTCCTTCATTTTTCTAAAATGGCTCTGCTGGCTTGTGGGACCTAAAAAGTACTGCATTCACTGCTTATAAGCTATGTGCTTGCATGCAGCCCGGACAATAACAGACATATAAAACTCATATAAAACTAGAAGTGTTTCATTACAATAATAATAATAATCCCCCTGTTAGCAATTCACAATCTTAATAATACATTGAACCCAGCTGAAGGATTTCCATTATCTAAAGCGGGATCCCCATTATCAAACTGAACCACAAGCCAAACCACGCCGCGAGCATGTGCATCGGTCGAGCCAGGACCATACTATCGAACTGAACCGTGAGTAGAACTCCATCGCGTGCACTGCGAGTAAGCTCGAAGAGATCCGTCCATTGGTGGTATTCTGTCGAAACATCAAAGAATGTTACGTGGCTCGGTTTGAGGTTGATTAGACGGCATTGTGAGCCGATCCCCGCATGTGCAAGTGCGTATCCCTATATCCC